ATCTGTAAGACCAATAATGACGGACCGATGATCGAGTGTGGGGAATGTAATGACTGGTGAGTCATCAGTCTTCTTGCTTTCTTTCGCTTGAGGGTATCGGAGAGTGAGATTGAGCTTTTCTTCTCTGTGTGCGTCTTTGTCCAAAAGTCCCGTGGTTTGTTTTCATTCGTATGCTCGATTATCCGTAATCTTTGCTCTCTGATGCTTTCCTCATCTGCGGTGTATCGCATGACACGATGATGAAGTGCTCTGTACTACACCTCTTGCAAGCGCTGGACGCAGCTCATCTATCGGTCATATTGGGTATAAGCCGCCGGCTCAGCACCATCCCTTCAGAGAAATCATCAGTATTCTTCCTCTTCTTTTGCTTCTTGCTTCCCCTTCCTCTTAGCTTGCGAAACCTTGCTTCTTCTCAGTCTTAGCAGCTTTTTGGACCAGAGAGCTTCATCTTTCATCTGGCACGCCACCACTGCCGACCTGATTAACCCTTGTCCATCTCTTATCATCCTTATGATTGAATCGCACTTTAAGCGAACATCCCGTCTCTTGTCTGGGTCGAAGTCTATCAAAACATTCTCAAGGGATCCGCTCTCCCGCTTGTCGGGCGTGTACATCTCACCTGCTGTCGTCTTACGCTGTCCATCACTGGACCAGTGCATGGGAACCACGTTCTATCTTAGGCGTTTCGTGTTGCCCCATACCCATCTTGCCACCCTGACTCGGTGCAACCTGTTGTTCTCGATATAACGTGCCGTTCCACTCCCTTTTGCACATTTCGGGGGATAGGTTTACTGACTCTTCAACTCATCTACAGGTTTCACTTCTCTTGCATTGGTATGACCGATGAAGAAGCCGAGAAGATCCGTATGTCAAATCTCCTTCTGCTACGTTGATGCGCGCTCGAGAGACCATGCTGACATTTTCTTGCGACGCAGATAAGTTTGTGTGTCCGCGCTGTGAAAGCAGCACAGGCGAAAAGTCTACACGTAAGTTTGAAATTGGGTCCAAGCAAGGCTATATGACTATTAGTCAATATATCATCTACGTAGATATGTGTTCGCTATTTTGTCACTCGTTCCATTCCGCGTTACTATCCCACCATATGGATGGATGTCGGTGCACAATCAGCGTGTTGTTCATGTGTACCGGCTGCATGACTTTGGTGTGGTACACGCACGAGTGTCGCTGCAAAATCTGCATCGTCACTATCGATTGTCTCCGCGTTTTGCACCAGATCGTAATTCCTTGTTATGAGCTTGGCTCATACAATCCGTAATTGTAGACATATACGATATCGAAACGTTCCCTTCCCCATCTCCGCCGCCTGGAATTGCCCCTGCAAAGCGGAAACAGCAAGGCAGGGCAAAGGTAAGCCTCGGGATGGGTACATTCGCCTCAGTCGATCCTCTCTGATATTGAGTCTTTTCCGTTTAGGCTGATCGCTCCGCTACGCCCGCTGAACGCGATGGCGCTGCCGAGACGGCAATCGAAGCGAGCCCAAGCCACTCGTCCCCTCGACCCTCACCCGCTAAACGACCCCGAATGTCCTCGATCGATACCAAGCGCAAAGCTTCCGTCAATTCCACAGCTTCGACCACGATTCCAACACCAGTACGAACAGGTCTGACTCCCATGCGAAAGTACGTTCGGGAAAAATTGACGCCAGCATTCATGGGGCTGTTCGTGGATATGGATGACGCCAGAGTTGGGCAGTTTGCGGCCGAGGTAGAGGAGTCGATATATCATAACTTCAAAGAGGTCGTCGGAGGGAAAGAGACGGCTGGAACGCGGTACAAGTGAGTTATACCTTACCAGAGGTCGAGCTAACGGATGATCAGGACCCAGTTCAACCTTCTCAACTCGTCGATGGCCAAGGGTTTGAGGCCGGACCTCGCTCACTCTATCATCGACGGCACATTTTCTGCTTCACGAGTCGCCACGCTCACCTCCGCCGATCTAGCCTCGACTGAGCAACTGGCTGAGCTCGAACGTGTGAAGCAAGCTGTTCTTGAGCAGACTGTGAGGGCGAAAGAGGAGGTCGCCGCTATCAGGATCGGTCGTGATGGGTTTGAGAAGGTGGAGAATACGCATGAGAAGGAGATGAATCTGCTGGCTGAGCAGGAGGAGGTGGCGAGGTTGAGAGCAGAGGAGGCTGCGAAGAAGGCCTTGGAGCCCGTGGAACCTGTCGAGGTGAAATCACCCGTGGTACCGGATGCACCTCGCTTCGCTCCTCGTCGCTCCGAATCGACTGATGCCGCTGCTGCTTCGCCATTGAGGCAGACTTCGTTCTCCCTCTCGTCAGCTTGGGGAAAGGATGAGGAGCAGGAGGGCGGAGAGGCGCCTATATTCTCCGGCGATCAGAACCAAGTCGATCTGAGTGACATCGTGGCGTCCGACGGTCTCGATGATCCACTCGACGACAATGTCTCGGAGGAAAAGGCAGGTCCGACCGAGATGGAGATATTTGAAGCAAGACCCGTGGTATGGTCCGGACGAGTAAGCTTGCTGCTACCTGAGGACATACAAGGTCGAAGCTAACGGCGTATCCAGATCACGAACCCTGCGGAACCATCCCCCCATACCCCGCCGATTACCGCCCGAGTCGTCTTCAAAGGACCACCCTCAGATTACTCCATCCTCCTTCCACACAAGGAGATAGAGATAACAGGTCGCGTCCCAACCAGTAACGCCCTCAGATTCCTCAGCGAATCCCGACTCAACCCCGCGAAAGAACTCATAACAGTCGCGTTTACCCTAGACCCCAAAGCGAGTGCCGAAGAAGCCCACACATGGGGAGAAATGGTGCTGTTTCATCTCGGACGAGACCGATGTGCCCTCTACTTTGCATATGGTCCGAATGGAATCCATTTGCCTCCAGGCGGAGCCAGAGAGCTGTATATGATACCTCTGAGACCGGAGGACCCGTCGCCTGAGTTTACGGATCTCATCGATGGCTATTCTTTACCTGCGACAGGCAGGACCTCGCCTTTGTTCTTGGGTGTTTTCGTGAGGAATAAGGGTTCCGTCAATATTGCCACCATGCCAGCAACATCGAATCTTCCGGTACCGACTGCGCGACCGCCTCAGTCGACGACAACGTCGCCCGCACCATCCACAGTGTCCTCAATTCACACCGAGCAGCTCGCGGCCCTCATGTTGAGTCTAAATCCTGCAGCATTACAAGGCGGGCTCGGCGGGCATAATCACAACCCCACTCAACAGGGCGGTATTCCCCCACTAGCTGTACCAGGCTTCAGTGGTACGCTGCCGACACCAACGCCGCCACCACCGCCGCAAACAGCCGCACGGGGACGGCGTACGCCCATGCCTCCACCAAGGAACTACCCGCCTTCCGAGCCACAAGGTTATCCGCCGTATTTCATCGACACTGAATATGCCCCTTCGGTACCTTATGTACCGCAGCCGCATGAACGTGAGGCCTGGCCACTCCCGCAGCCGCAGGAGCATGAGGTCTGGCCAAATAGTCGACCGAGAGATCCTAGAAGGGATGGGGGACGGAAGAGATGATGAAGGTTGTTATTGTACATTGTTATGGTTTTGATTGGTTCTCAGCTTGAATGGGTGTCTTGAGTGCGTATCACACAACGAATTTAATTATATTTATATTCATAGTCATATAATGTTACTCGGTGAGAGGTTGCAGGGCGAAGCATCTGTCCGTCTATAGCAGCTCGCCGTAAGCGAGATGTAGTATCTCTCGTATCGAGGCGAGACCTGACATAGTTATCTTAGTAAAAAAGACCGGCCTCAATTTCGTGTATCTTGCAATCATGCGACAAATGCGGGTTTCTTCAAGACATGGTCTTTCGAACTAACACAAGACATCCTGAGCTATTGATCAGATCAAGGTCCTCATTCCTGTGGCCCAAGTGGATGAACGATGTGGCGTTCTCCGCACTTGGAGAGCCTCGTGGACGACCAAACGATGAGTCAAGAGTGATGGGCGACTGCCCTATCAACAACGACCACGCATCCGATAGATTCAACTCGCGGGGTATTGTACCTCTCGGGGTTCTACCAGCATCGCGAAGATGGTGATTCAGCGGGCGTGATGTAAGACCTTCCCAGGCTAGTTGATTGGTCGTTAAAGTCGTAAACTCGAACGAGGACTGGTTATATGAATTGCAAAAAAAGTTCGCTCATCATGGTAGCTTCAGACGAAAGCGATCATTCTTGATTTCGCTCCGTCCTCTCTCAGCAGATACTACAGAGAAGAAATGACACCCAGAGCAGATGCAAAGGAGAAGTTCCGACGAGGCTAGCACAACGGGATCGTCTACTGACAACAGCTTGTGGACCCAATACGTTTTTTGTACAGTACGGAGGAGATAGTCAGGCCAAAGGGATGAGCCCGACGGGCCAAAGGACGATGAGCTCGACATGTAGCCTCTATGCGCACAACATATCACAGCAGGCATTGGGGTGAATTCCCAGTACGCCGTCATCGTATTCACAGAAGCGAATGATTCTCCTCACGTGCTGCCACAGCTCTCGGTTGCTCCGAAAAGATGCTTCTAGCGAACATGAAGCAGTAGAGTGCGGCTGCCAGATCGAGGGAGTCGACACTCTACCGAAAACGTGTGAACACGTCATTGCATTTACAGGTCCGCTCGCAGGTCCAGGCGCAGACAGAAGGGGTTTATGCAGAGCGTTGAAAATACCGAGACGGACCGCAGAATATTGATAGGCTATCTGGAGACGAAGAGGAAGTACGACAGATGGTTATTCGGTGACCAGCGAAAGATGGCAAAGACAGGTCACCGGTACTTATTCACGATTGTACGATGTGTATCTACCGAGATACATCTTCATACGATGAGCTTGAGACGTATATATGACTCCCCGCACAAGTCCTCGTATAACCCTGTTGCGTAAGCGTCATCAAGTTCTCTCGAAGAGAAATAATATCCAAAGGAAGGTTATAGGTTTTCTCGCGCAAAGATATATAATTGCAAAAGAACGGAGAGCACCCATCCCAAGGCACTTTGGCCGAGTGGTTTTAAGGCGATCGCTTGCTATGATTCGATTCGATCAAGCAGCGGTTGGGATTTCCCGCGTGAGTTCGAATCTCACAGGTGTCGTCAAGTTTTTGCTTCCACGCACTCATGGGACAGCACCCAGCTTTTTCGGTATGACCATGGCCAATATGTACGCTGCAAATGATACCCCTCAACGCAATCGCGTGTTCATGTTTCTGCCCGCCTGCTTGCTCACTGCGAGTCCGACAGTCCCGACGACCCTACTCTCTGCAGGGCTATAGATTCCAGTACTGTTGAATGACATCCACTACACAAGTTAGATGCTCCTTGACAACCACCATCAGCCATTGATGTTACCTGCCTTGCTCGGCGAAAGCAAAGCAAAGCAAAGCAAAGCCACGACGCCGCCGGCACCAGCTATCACGTATCAACAAAGGGCCTCTCATGTCTATCTATGTACACGCGTCCGGATGTAACACCCAAATACAGTTTGTCAGCTGGTACCTGTAAAACTCGCCGAGCTTGGGAGTATGTATGTGTGTTTATTCACTTTGGCTTGGTGGTCGGAGCGGTGAGTGTGGATTATGTCCGGAAGTAGAAATTGAAGGGCGTTTGATCCCCACTTAAAATACAACCGACACGCCGACGCGTAAGATTTCCGTTATGCCTTTGAGCAACGGGATTCAGGGTTGTAGGGGCCAAAGGTGCAAGCAATCACGTAAACTCCTAACTTTGTAGCACTCGTGCGATTCTGCATCCAGCAACTAAATAATAAAAGATAACTAGCTTCTGCTGTAGGGTTATAGGGTTATATCTCGATCTTGATAGCTTTCTGCAAGTGTATACTACTCGGTTCACAGTTACACAGAGCTAAGGCACAATAGAGAAAAAGTGTAAAGAGAGGTCTTAGCTTAGCGTGTTTCGTCCAAGAGAGTGAAGTGTTGTTTTTATCGTCGCTCCATCACCGTCACCACCACCACCACCACCACCACCACCACCACCACCGTCACCACGGTTGATAGAGTTGCTCCTCTTCATTCTTGTTTTGATCCATCTCTTCATTCCATCTTCATCTCCATCCTATCGTCTGCCACGACCCATCCTCATCTTCTCAGACCTCTCTTTGCTTTGACCACATCACGTACGAGTAGCCTACCGTACACTTTTGATCTAATTTGATCTGATCTGATCTGATTCATTCTCATCCCTAGTGAATCACGCATCGCACAGACCCAGCTTGCTACCTACCTCTATATACTCCTTTATCACCTTTCTGTTCCGCTCCACTAGAGCCTGCTTAGCTCCAATCGCTTTAGCTTCTGTCAGTCATCCTCTTATCTTAGATTACTTCCCCCGCCCATACGTACACACACAAGTATCATCCAGCGAAAACAAACAAAAGAAGGAAGAATTACGAGACTCCTTTCACTCCCTAATCACTCGAGATAAAATTAACTAACCCACGGCAAGCTCAATCACAATGGCGATGTCGACACCCCGAACCCCTACTATCTCGCGCCCCCACACGCCTAGTGTACTCTCTCCCAGAGGTTCATACACCAACCTCTCTGCCGCGCTCGAGGCTTCGACTCCTGGCTCTTCTACCCCTGCTTTGAGGGATGAGAAGGAGAGGATGAGGGCCGAAGCTGAGGTCAGAGAGGCCCTGTTGAGGGCCGCTGATGGTGCTGAGAAGGCAAAGAAGGAGGAGAGCGCTATGCCTGCTGGGTCACCAGGTGAGTACTGTGATATATCTTCCATCACCTTCATCCTGCGCTTCCTTCTCTACCTCTTCACCTGAAGAGAGACATGATTTTCAACATCGTGCTGATTCCTGATCTCTCACTTGCCTTAACCCCCCATCGTCCTCAGTATGGCCTATCCTCTCTTACTGCATGGCTTCGATCATGATGACCGTCGTCAACAAGTTTGTCGTGTCCGGTCACCAATTCACCATGACCTTCTTGCGTGAGTCCCGGTAATTCACCGCTGGTTCTCTTTCCATTCTCATGCTGCTAGCTTGCTCGCTGACCATGTTCGACCGCTTCGTGTCTTTTTCCCTAGTCCTCACCATCCAGTCGGCCGTATGTGTCGCCTGTGTATGGACTGTCAAGCGGATCGGTCTTATCAGCTGTAAGCCGATGCCCCTTTTCATCTGACACACCGCGATTAGAACTATTCGTGCTGATTCCATCCTTGCTCTCGCGACACAGTCCGAGACTTTGACATGAACGACGCAAAAACTTGGTTCCCCGTTTCGTCCTTGCTTGTCGCTGTCATCTATACTGGCTCCAAGTCGCTCCAGTTCCTGTCCATCCCCGTGTACACGTGAGTCAACCGACTTCGCCCCTCATTGTGTTGCCATGGACTCAAGCTGATTGCATGCCCATGTTGAACGTTCTCAGCATCTTCAAAAACTTGACCATCATTCTGATCGCGTACGGCGAAGTCCTCTGGTTCGGCGGCTCCGTCACCGGTCTCACCCTCGTCTCGTTCTTCCTCATGGTCGGATCTTCCGTCATCGCAGCCTGGTCAGACATCTCTTCCACCCTCGCTAGACTTTCCGCTGGAGTGGCTGTCATCGACCCCATTTCGGGAGCCGACGTACCGTTGCCTACTGGTGTGATTGGCAAGCTGAACGCGGGATACATGTGGATGTTCATTAACTGTATCGCCTCGGCCGCCTACGTGAGTATTGATCGAATCCCGTCCCTGCCGATGAAATCCGTAATCTCGGATAGTGAGGAAATACTCTGACCGTCCACACCAACTTGTCATTCTGTATCGAGCTGATGTCATTTCCCTTATTTCCAGGTCCTCTTCATGCGAAAGCGAATCAAGGTTACCGGCTTCAAAGACTGGGACTCCATGTTCTACAACAACTTGCTCTCCATCCCCGTCTTGCTCATTGCGTCACTGATCGTTGAGGACTGGGGATCCGCTTCGTTCGCCAGGAATTTGTGAGTATGAACGGATCCAAACCTGTTCCACCGGTGACTCGCGCTATCGCTCCGTTACAACATACCTGGTGAAGGCTCGTGCTGATTTGCGTGACGTGTTTACTCCTGACAGCCCCGAAGTTGGCCGAACATTTTTGCTTTCCGCCATCGCCTTCTCTGGAGCTGTTGCCGTCTTCATCTCGTACTCCACCGCTTGGTGTGTTCGAACCTGTGGATCGACCACTTACTCGATGGTTGGCGCCCTGAACAAGTGAGTATTCGACTCTCAATCCCACTTTCGTCTTTCCGTCTACGATCTGCATCGACAGAGCTCTACAGCCTTATGGTACAATGTTCGAGCTTCTGCTCACGCTGGCGCAACATGCACTTTGCAGACTCCCCGTCGCCGCTTCCGGTATTCTCTTCTTCGGCGACCCCGCCAACATGGGCAACGTCTCTGCCATCGCTGTCGGCGGTGTGGCCGGTGTCGTTTACGCCGTGGCCAAGACGAACCAGGCCAAGATTGAGAAGGCTCGACAGGGCAGGAACCCGGACAGCAAGGCATAAGCGCGCAGTTCACAGCGCGAGCCGCCCAGCGCACTTTGCAGACTATCTCATGCGTCTTTGGAAATGAACAGTGTATCGGTCATACAGTTGAGGAGGGGGTATATTGAAGGAGCTCTTTAGATCATATATAGAAAGATATGTTGGTTGGAGGAAGGCGAGGGCGGGCGTTCGTCCCGGATGTCTGGCTAGTCGATGGTGTATCTTCAGAACCACCGTCATTAACGTATATCTGGGACATGCCATCTGGTACAAGCACTGGACTTTGGTTAATCATCTTATCTTTCTTAGACTTTTCGCTCCGCTTCGTTTGGCAATCGTTACAACGGTCCCCAACTTATCTTCTTACACGCTCATTCATTTACATATCCATATATACATATGCATTATACCTTACGACAGCTCGTGTATGCTCTGTGTGAGCATTCACAGATCTGGCATCGATTAATCCTACTGCGTGAATGGCGGCGTGCTCTCTCCCTCCTAGTCACGCGTTGAAAGTGTGAGACGGGATCAAATTGTACAGTGGTACCTTTAGGAAGTGATGACGGGGAAGATAATGTTTATCCAAGATGGGAACAACAGATCTTCTTCTCTTGCTAGCTGCTAACTGGCATGGGATCACCAAATTGACGACGATAGATCTAGATCCAGATCATCCCTCGACAATACATCTTTACATCTGGGTCTGCGAGTCAAGTCCTGAGTGTAAGAAGAGCGGCGCATTCGGCATCCAATTGGTACTGTACTCGTAGCGCTCGCCTCCTTGCCAGGCTAAACAACGTCCAACTCGATCCTAGACATCAACTAACCCCTCGAGGAAGGTCTTCTTGATTGCACAAGTGCAGTGTCGATTTGATCGCGCACCGGTCAACAAGCGATACCTCAGGCGAAGCAAAGTGAAATCAAGAACAACGACCAAGCGACAAGCCACACTCTGCTTCACTGTACACACAATCACAGAAACAGGAGCGTAGTCAGGTAGATATGTCAGGCGATGATGGAGCTGGATCAGGCGATGCGCTCGTCAAAGCTAGGCAGCTTATGACGGCTGCTGTTGCGCCTAATTCGACTGCTGAGAGTGTGAGTGAGGGCTCTGAAGGCTGAGACTGGATTGAATGCAGCGTCTATCGCTCGAGTTCTTTCTCGCACTATCTCGTCAAAGGTTGAGTCCGACCGACTGGCTCGTCCCGCCTGGACATCTTTGACGCTCTATTCCTCTCTTTCCCACTCTTGTGCTTCGAAAGGCGGAGGAAGCTCTCATATCTCAGACAACAGCTTGGCTACAATAACGAGCCTAATCATGCGATATTCTGCTGAGATCTTTCCGTCATGTTGCCACTCCCTGCACCCCACGCCATAACAGCGCCGCACCTTCCGCTCGCACCTAATCACTCTAGCCTCTGACCCGTCATACGAACACAAGGCGTTCTTCGGTACACTCGTCTCCAAATTCTTTGGCGAATTCGAGGATTTACAAGATTCCACCATTGATGCTTTGCTGGATCTATGCGAGGACGAAGATGAGAAAGTGAGAATCATCGGAATAAAAGGATTGGGGCCGACGGGGAGGGCGGATCCGAGGTGGGTCAAGGGGAATAC